TTCTGCTTATTCGGCACGACACACACACACACACACACACACACACACACACACACACACACACACACACATATATATATATATATATATATATATATATATATAATATATATATATATATTATATATATATATATATATATATATATATGGGTGTGAAACATGGGTGGTGAATGTTTCAACAAGGAGAAGGCTGGAGGCAGTAGAGACGTCGTGTCTGAGGGCAATGTGTGGTGTGATTACAACTCAATGCGTAGTTTGGAAATTAGGAGGTGTGGGTGGGTGTGAGTTGGACCTGACTAGCTTGTACTACTAGGTCAGATGCCGCGCTCCTTCCTTACGTGAATGTGACCTGACCTGGCCTAGGTTGGATCATTAGCTTGGGCCCGTGGGGGACTTGGACCTGCCTTGCATGGGCCAGTAGGCCTGCTGCAGGGTTCCTTCTTCCTTATGTTCTTATCACTGGTCATATAATTAAGTAAAGAATAAAGATTATATTTCTTTGTAAAGGTTACAATGTGTAGTTACAATTTTCGTTTTCTAAGTACAAAGGAAGCCAGTATCATGCTGGGGCATGTCGGCCAGACCAAAATTACTGATATAGCGGAGTCCGACGGAATTTTTGAAAATTACCACGTTACTTTCGTTTAGGCTGTAACAGTATCGGCGCTTGTGGGATTTTTTTCTAATGCTATAATATTCAACCTTTCTGGCTATGGGTACTGGTTTGCCTAGGGGCATTTCCTGTTCCCTTCTCTCTCTCTCTCTCTCTCTCTCTCTCTCTCTCTCTCTCTCTCTCTCTCTTTCTCTCCCTCACTCCAGTGAATACATCCTCTGGGATCGTATTAGCTCGGACATCCTCCTTTTTTTCTGCAACTTTGCAAGCTCCTGATGTGTTGATTTCAACACAAAAGGCCTAGAGCTATCATTCTACACACCCCGTGTTTGTTTTGCATCCTGTATCGTTTGGTTTGCGACATTGGCATAATAGACTGAGATGTAAGCCAAAGTACAGTGTCATCCTTTGCCCATGATACCTGAATTTGTATGGCTGTGTCACTTATCAAAGACACCGCAAGTCTCAAAGCGGACATCAATCATGTCTTTAAATGAGTCACAGAAAACAATATGAAGTTCATTGAAGACAAATTTCAATTACTCCGATATGGAAAAACTCGAGGAAATTAAAATTGAATCGGAGTATATAACAAATTCCTTCCACACAATAGAGTGGACAACTAATGTGAAGGACCTAGGAGTGATAATGTCAAGAACGTCTCACTTTCAAAGACCACAACAATGTATCTACCACATCTGCTAGGAAAATGATAGGACGGATAATGAGAACCTTTAAAACTAGGGATGTCAGTCCCATTATGATTCTTTTCAAGTCACTTCTCTCTAGGCTGGAATACTGCTGTACATTAACTGCCCCTTTCAAGGCAAGAGAAACTGCAGACTTGTTGAATGTACAGAGAACTTTCACGGCACATATAAATATGATAAAGCACCTAAATTACTTGAAGTTCCTTGATTTGTACTCCCTGGAATGCAGGCGAAAAAGGTACATGATAATATACACTTGGAAAACCATAGACGGCCTAGTCCCAGATCTGCACACTATAAATCACTCCCTACGAAAGCAAACTCGGCAAGTGATGCAACATCCCCAATGAAATGCAGGAGCACCACAAGTACACTAATAGAGAACACAGTAAGTGTCAGGAGCCCAAGACTGCTCAAATGCCTACCAGCACATATAAAGAGGATTACCAATAGACCCCTGGCAGTCTTCAAAAAGGAACTGGATAAGCACGTAAAGTACCTGACCAGCTAAGCTATAGTTCGTACGTTTGCTTGCATGTGGCCAGTAGTAACAGCCTGGTTGACTAGACCCTGATCCACTGTGAAGCCTGGTCACAGAACGGGCAGCGGGGGCGTTGACCCCTGAAATTCTCTCTAGGTATACTCCAGGTATACCCATATAGGCTTGCCTCCCAACCTGTGAACCAGCTGCTAAGGGTTTAACAATCAGGGCCCTTATCGTTTTACCAGTACCTTGGTTCAACCAGCCAATCACAAGGAATCCTGCCAAAGCTGTGAAGCGATATGGTACACTCGTGAAACAACTTTGGCAGAATTGCCTTCCCTGTCTTATGCTTGCATTTGCCTCATTGTACATAGCTGTAAATACTGTACATAGGTTGTATGTGTTGTAAATACCAGCTTATTTTTGTTGAAGGAAATATATTAATTTATTTTCTGCTGTATTTTTGCTCGTTCATAAGTGGTTATCACATTACGGCAGGGTGTGCAGGCCATATCTGCACCTGTGTACATAATAATGGTGGTGGGTGTAACGGGTGTGATGGATGTAGTGGTGGGTGGGATTGAGATGGGGTGGTGTTGATGGTGGTTGGGGTGGGGGTGGTTTTGATGGCGGTTGGGGTGGGGGATGAAGGTTGTTGGAGTGGGGGTGGTGTTGATGGTTCTTGGGGTGATGGTGGTTGGGGTGAGGTGTTGGGGTGATGGTTGTTGGGGTGATGGTGGTTGGGGTGAAGGGTGGTGGGGTGAGGGTAATGGTTGTGGGGGGAAAGGCAGTGGGGTGGGGGTAATGGTTGTGGGGGATGGGTGGTAGTTGTGGAGAAATTTTCTTGGGGAGGGGAGTATCAGCCCCCCTTCAGCCCCTTTCAGCCCTGAGGGGCCCAGCCCTCTCAGAAGGGGCAAACATCTTGTTTACTGCTACAGCGAGTAACTGATCCCAGATGCAATAAGAGTATGTGACGTGGTCAAGCGACCGCCTCTCCTTGCAAGAGTACAGTGTTGCAAAGCGTAGTTTAACAAGAAACAATCCATCTCTTACCTTAGCAGGACAATTAAGGAAAACCTGCTCCTATTTTATTACCATGGTAAAGTTAGTGGACATTGTTGTCTATGCTTAAGACAGTAAGGATAAAGCATTCTACTTTGTTTCATGAAGGAAGTTTGGCAAGGAAGCAAAAAGTACTAGGTCAGCTTTTCCTTTATGTTCTAGGGGCATTGCAGCAGCGTAGGAGGCTGTGAAGTCAGAGTACTTTTCACCCTACTGTGAGTCACACTGACGCCAGGATAACCAACAAAGAACACTGATCCGTGCGTTAGCATGAACAAAGTGTCTCACAAAACACAATAAACACTTACAGAGAAGTGTCATCAGCTTCTATAGTTATAAAATTGTGAACAATAAAGACAAACCTTGTGGAACATAGTGTACCAGTGTGCGTATTCCTAGACTATGGAAGACGTGGACATCCAAGGACACTTCAGCTTCTATCAAGTCATCGATACCTGCCGAGGGTGTAAAGAACACCACAGCTCATGCTACAAGAGCAAGGTAGGTTATGAATTACCTTGTGATACAGGGGACTGCACAATTCTTGTGTCACAGGGAGTTTGTAATCAACCTATAGTCGGCAGTGAGGTGCAGACTTTTGAGTCCACACATGTAAGTTTTGTCAGCAATCAGTGAATGAAATATGCTGACATAATACCCCCTAGGGGTAATTTATTATTAAGACAATTCCATTTCAGCCTGTTGCGAAGTGGTTAAGACAGCTTCTCAAGACTTCGCCTGCAGGGGCGGCTGTGTGGGCGATAGCTGCCTTATCAAGCTAAGTTCCCCCTATATTTAAACTTTAACCTTAGCTAGTAAACCATTTCTCAACAGCAGTGAAGTTAGTAGTATTGGTAGTGGTGGTGGTGGTGTGGAGAATAAAAATAGATGAATAATTTAAAAATAAAAGCTGAAACGAAAATAAAGACAACAAAAGGAGAAAATAGTAAATAGATAAGTAATGTACTGTGGTCTGTGAGTGAAGCTGAGAACCAGACGCACGAGTCATTGAGACGACTGGTGGGAACAACTTGGGTCTGTGAGTGAAACTGGCTGCCAGACGCACGAGTCATTGAGACGACTGGTGGGAACAACATATCAGCAACCCCTGCTATGGTGAGAGCCTTCACTCCGCCAGTGCACCACAACACTGTGTTGTCCTGTGTTACGTCCTACAATATTTTCTAACTATACTAATGTGTGTACACTATAGCAATAGCGCATAGTGATATGTATCTCAATATACTGCATATACTCCTAAAATTTATTTCAATCTCCTGTGAGCCCATATTTGCTATTAAAACTGCCTTGGCTGGTGGTCAATAGTTCACATGCAGCCTTCATGACTTTCTGTATCTGAGAGGCTTAAATCCTAATTAATCCCCAAATTCCTAATTGTGTTCCCGTACTCGCTTTATCCCTTGTGTATTACACTTCATAACAAAAATTTCAATTAATATTTTATTGATAGTTATGGTTAATATTTTATTTTAGGTTCCCCAGTTTTTATTTTATATAATTATTATGAACACAGTTAAGAATGGCCTGTGACCTGGTCGTAATGGGTTTGGAGCAAAACAAATTCAGCAGTAATATTTAACTTGTATTTCCTTCACCAGATATAAATATGTATGCATAATTATGTACACTTATGTACAGGACCTGAATATAAGTGTACCACACGGTGATAAAGGGCAAAGACAGAAGTCAGAGACAGAGCACCGTACTTCAACCAGCTAGAGCAAGTCTGGCAAATGCTGACTGTGAGTGAACCACGTTACCTCAGCATTTGGCCGTCTCACTTATGATTGGACAATGAACCAAGGTACTGATTTAACGATGGGTACCCTTAATATCGTTAAATCCTTAGCACCTGGTTCGCTGGTTGGGAGGCAGCCTATATGGGAGTGTGAACATATGCTGAATATATTGTAACATACGCTTTGCATGCCACAATAATCAAGACTTTTTTTTATAGAGGATTATAGACACTTGCCTATCCAACCTCTAAAGAATATATTGATTACTTATTCTAAGACCATGAAGAAACAACACTGAAATAATGCATATAAAAAAAGTACAGAAATACCTTTCAGGCTACTTTAGCACCAGATGAATAGAATACAGACCTGAGCATTCCTTCTTGGTCGTCGGCAAAATCTTGCTGGTACCACTCTAGTATCTGAGGCAGCTTGAGGACCCCCTCCGTCACCTGCACCTCCTGCAACAGGTAAGAATTGGTGGCTGTCTCCAGCACTGCCTCCAGGTTACTTTCGCTGTAAACACGCACAACTGGACAAGTCTGTTGGCAAACAATGGGATACAAGAAGAGGTAGTAAGTGCAACAACCACTGCAAGAATTTTTATGATAGTTGAGCACAGAAGGCACGACACAGTTCTACTCGAAATACCAATAGGAATCATAAACTACCGGGTACAGCACCTCCGAGCATCAATACATGAGAAAGAGCCACACTGGGATACAGGGGTTTTCAAATATTTAGAACAACTTTATTTCTACTGTAAAGCTATATATAATATTTTGTCATCAATAATGGTTTTAAAAAACGAAGTAACATACAGTTATAACTAGTCCACAGCAGCAGAACTGACCTTGGCACCACAGTTGAGGGCAAAATGAATCCTTGGGTCGAGGTTTGGAAGGCGGTGTTCTTGGCGGGGGTCAGCTGGTGACAGAACTGGGGTGCCACTGCTGGGGTGAGCCTTGTTACCTGTGCAAAAACACACTTGTCCTCAGTAATCATATATATATGTATATATAAATATAAATATATATATATATATATATACATATATATATATATATATATATATATATATATATATATATATATTATATATATATATATATATATATATATATACATATTATATATATATATATATTATATATATATATATATATATATATATATATATATATATATATGTCGTGCCGAATAGGCAGAACTTGCGATCTTGGCTTAAATAGCAACGCTCATCTTGCCATATAGGACAAGTGAAAATTTGTATATGTAATAATTTCGCCAAAATCATTCTGAACCTAACGAAAAAAATATATTTGATTGTGTTTGTTTAGCATTTAATTATTGTAAACAAATCTAAAATATATTTAGTTGAGTTAGGCTAAAATAAATTGCTGTTGTTATAATAAGGTTAGGTAAGTTTTCTAAGATTCTTTTGGTGCAGAATTAAAATTTTTTACATTAACATTAATGAAAAAAATATATCTTTAAAAGTATAAGAGCAAATTTCAGAAAAGACTTAATTTTAAATGAGTTCTTGCTAATTGACCAGTTTTACATATTCGGCACGACATATATATACATATATATATATATATATATAATATATTATATATATATATATATATATATATATATATATATATATTTTATATATTATATATTATTATTGTAACCACGAATAAGCGGCTAGCTGGAGGATCGAACCCATGTTGTTTTAGTCCGCCTCGTGAGAAGAGCGAAAATTCACGACATTCTAAACCACTGGAACATATAATCCTACAAACAACATGAGCCTAGCGAACTAGGCTTGCTTCATTTTGCGAGGACTTGCAATTGTTTGGTTGCCTCGGAGCTAATTTCATTCTACTTCCCGTTTGCTGTACTAACCTCCACAAGCAGTACATATATTATTGTAACCACGAACAAGTGGTATTTAAATCAATAACAAACTGCGGCTAGCCGGGGGGTCGAACCCATGTTGTTTTAGCCTGCCTCGTGGGAAGAGAGCGAAAATTCACAACGCTCTTAACCACTGGACCATACAATCGTACAAACATGTTACCAGGGTTGTTTAACAAATTTATAGATGGGGTTGCAAAGGAAGTGAATGCTAGGGTGTTGGAAGGAAGTGTGGGATTAAAATATGCAGAATCTAATACAAAATGGGAGTTGTTATTGTTACTTTTTGCTGATGACACTGTTTTTTAGGAGATTCGGAAGAGAAGTTGCAAAGGTTAGTGAACGAATTTGGGAAGGTGTGTAAAAGACAGAAGACATAACTGCGCATAACAAGACAGAAATGTTATGCACAATTAGGGATATAATTTTGGAGTTATTGATGCATTTGCTCGATGTATTCATGAAATCAGAGGAATTTATCTATTATTATTATTATTATAATCAAGGGGGAAGCACTAAACCCGTAGGATTATACAGCGCCTATGGGGGGATGGAAGGCATTCAGGCTTAATTCAGGGAACTGGAGCACAGATCCAACTGGAGCACAGATCCAATTCCCTAGATCAAGAGCCCCTCACCAGCGTCAAGGAGCCTTCCTTGAGGGGAGGAATTTATCTAGGGACTGGCATAGCACGTGCATAGTTCCTTTGTGTAGGAGAAAGGGGAATCAAAATAAAAAGTGCAAGACTTATAGGGAAATAAGACTATTTTGTATACTGGGTAAAGCGTATGGAAAAGTTATCACTGAAAGAACCACATGCATTTCGGTCGCTGTGCGATCCAGGAAAGGCATCCCCGTATTTCCCAAGCCCAGCCTCCTCTACTTCAATGCAAGCGAAAGGAATATCGGCAGGTGGTCATAAAATTCCAGTGTAGTAATATAAAAAGTACCAGAGTGTGTATGTGTCAGTGTGTGTATGTGTCAGTGTGTGTATGTGTCAGTGTGTGTTTGTGTCAGTGTGTGTATGTGTCAGTGTGTGTATGTGTCAGTGTGTGTATGTGTCAGTGTGTGTATGTGTCAGTGTGTGTATATGTCAGTGTATGTGTCAGTGTGTGTATGTGTCAGTGTGTGCATGTGTCAGTGTGTGTATGTGTCAGTGTGTGTATGTGTCAGTGTATGTGTCAGTGTGTGTATGTGTCACTGTGTATGTGTCAGTGTGTGTATGTGTCAGTGTGTGTATGTGTCAGTGTATGTGTCAGTGTGTGTATGTGTCACTGTGTATGTGTCAGTGTGTGTATGTGTCAGTGTATGTGTCAGTGTGTGTATGTGTCAGTGTGTGTATGTGTCAGTGTGTGTATGTGTCAGTGTATGTGTCAGTGTGTGTATGTGTCAGTGTGTGAACTTCTGTACAGTTCTGCACTTCTATATGTATATAGTGCATGTGTAATTATGTATGCAATTTTTGTGTGCAGATGTTTACTTGTGTATATATCAGCGATGTATACTTATTTATACATCTGTGAATGCGTAAGTATACATGCACCGATTATTTTGCATATTGTGATATCACTTAATTAGTGTGATCTTACTGCAATATATGTATGTTTGTGTGTTTGTAGCGGGGTATGCGTGTATTTTCCTCCAAGTGCGTTTGCATGCACATGTATGCATGCACATGTATGCATGCATATGTATGCATGTATGCTCGAGAGCGTGTGCGTGCGCATTCATATTTATGCAGGTGCAAATGATTACATGTATATTCATTTATTAATATTTAGATGTGTATGTAATGTATGTTCGTATATGTAAATGTGAAATTTATGTATATTTACATATTTACGCATGTATGTGTATACACAGTAAATATACCTCATCACCACCACCTTCACCTTCACCACCATCACCACCACCACCACCACCACCACCACCACCACCACCACCACCACCACCTTCACCACCACCACGACCATCACCACCACCATCACCGCCACCACCACCACCACCACCACCACCACCACCACCACCACCACCATCACCACCATCACCACCATCACCACCATCACTATCTTCAAAACCATCACTACCACCATCGTGTGCATGTAAATGCATGTGGATCCACATAACCAATAACAACATTAGTCCTTGTGTCAATTCAATTCAGTTCAAGTTTATTCTCTATAAGGGTTGCAATGTGGGGTTTACAGGTTTTGGGTATTGTGTGGTTTACATGTTATAAAATACTAATTACAGAGGGGGCCACTAGGACACCTAGCATGACTAGGCATCTCGAGCAGACTTGGATTAATTCTTAACATTAAATCCTTACAGATTATGGTATTAAGGCTAAGTGACTACATCATAATTTGTGAGTTTAGCAATGTGAATGCTTTTGTTTTGGCACAATACAAAGTGTCTATATTGGAGTATCATAGGCAAACTTATGACTAGTTAGGATTTATTATTTTAAGATTAAGATTAGTATTTCTGGGTTTATAGTCAGTGGGTGAGTGAGTGTCATTGTGAACCACCAGGTGGTTATCATGTAGTTAGTTGTCGGGGTGGATCAGGGAGATAAGATGTTTTCTAACTGTAGTTTTGAAAGTGATGAATGTGTCTGCAGTTCTAGAGTTTTCAGGTAGGGTTTTCCAGATTTTAGGTCCTTTGAAATACATTGAATTTTTGTAAAGGTTTAGTCGAACACGGGGAATGTCATAGAGATGTTTGTGTCTGGTGTTATGCCTGTGGATCCTGTCACAACTATCAAGAAAGCGTTTTAGGTCAAGGTTAATATTGGAATTTAAGGTCCTGTAGATATAGATTGCACAGTAGTAAGTGTGGATGTTCTGAACAGGGAGTAAGTTTAGATCTATGAAGAGTGGGGGGTGTGTTGCCAGGGATGGGATTTAGTGATTATTCTTACTGCGGCTTTTTGTTGGGTGTCGGTAACATCAGTAAAAGTAACTGAGGCTCCCTACAGCGATCTCAAGAATATCAGTTTTGGGAATGGTCTATGTAAAACTGATCTGAGAACACCAGCATATGTTATTTGCTCTACAAACTTTAACCCAGTAACAGCTGACCAGGGCTTAATGTGACGCAGATAGAATAAGGTGTTCTGAAGTTATGAACGGAAATCTTAGATGGTATGAACAACCTGTAGCTGAGAGATGAACAGTTCCCTCATTTCAGGAAATTTAAAAATTCTATAAAAATGAGTCTTCATTACCTTTCAGTTTTCTATTCGTAACTGTATCAGTTTTAAAATTCTCCACAATCCTGTAAGAAAAAAAATATTTTGTGTTTTTTAAAGATGGTCGAATTAAAAAAAAAATATCCAAGGATTCCAAGTTTTCAAAAATATTTATTGCATTGTCAAATTTGCCGACACAGTAACCATACCGACAAGGTCCTGTTCTTGCCACAAGATGCATCACCCACTAAATATGGGAACTATTTAGAAGAGGTAAACACGCATATTTTGACTGTCGAGATTAAACGGGAGGTAATATTTCACACAATTTTACTCACAGAAGCAAGATCACCAACCATCTAGAAACCCATCAGTTACACAACCCAGGGCAACATGGGTTTAGAACAGGTCGCTCCTGTCTGTCTCAACTATTGGATCACTACGACAAGGTCCTAAATGCACTAGAAGATAAAAAGAATGCAGATGTAATATATACAGACTTTGCAAAAGCTTTCGACAAGTGTGACCATGGCGTAATAGCACACAAAATGCGTGCTAAAGGAATAACAGGAAAAGTCGGTCGATGGATCTATAATTTCCTCACTAACAGAACACAGCTACGGCGAAAAGCTCTGTTCCACAAGGCACAGTACTCGCTCCCATCTTGTTCCTCATCCTCATATCCGACATAGACAAGGATGTCAGCCACAGCACCGTGTCTTCCTTTGCAGATGACACCCGAATCTGCATGACAGTGTCTTCCATTGCAAACACTGCAAGGCTCCAGGCGGACATCAACCGAATCTTTCAGTGGACTGCAGAAAACAATATGAAGTTCAACGATGAGAAATTTCAATTACTCAGATATGGTAAACACGAGGAAATTAAATCTTCATCAGAGTACAAAACAAATTCTGGCCACAAAATAGAGCGAAACACCAACGTCAAAGACCTGGGAGTGATCATGTCGGAGGATCTCACCTTCAAGGACCATAACATTGTATCAATCGCATCTGCTAGAAAAATGACAGGATGGATAATGAGAACCTTCAAAACTAGGGAGGCCAAGCCCATGATGACACTCTTCAGGTCACTTGTTCTATCTAGGCTGGAATATTGCTGCACACTAACAGCACCTTTCAAGGCAGGTGAAATTGCTGACCTAGAAAATGTACAGAGAACCTTCACGGCGCGCATAACGGAGATAAAACACCTCAATTACTGGGAGCGCTTGAGGTTCCTAAAACTGTATTCCCTGGAACGCAGGCGGGAGAGATACATGATTATATACACCTGGAAAATCCTAGAGGGACTAGTACCGAACTTGCACACGAAAATCACTCACTACGAAAGCAAAAGACTTGGCAGACGATGCAACATCCCCCCAATGAAAAGCAGGGGTGTCACTAGCACGTTAAGAGACCATACAATAAGTGTCAGGGGCCCGAGACTGTTCAACTGCCTCCCAGCATACATAAGGGGGATTACCAACAGACCCCTGGCAGTCTTCAAGCTGGCACTGGACAAGCACCTAAAGTCGGTTCCTAACCAGCCGGGCTGTGGCTCGTAAGTTGGTTTGCGTGCAGCCAGCAGCAACAGCCTGGTTGATCAGGCTCTGATCCACCAGGAAGCCTGGTCACAGACCGGGCCGCGGGGGCGTTGACCCCCGGAACTCTCTCCAGGTAAACTCCAGGTCACAAAACGGTAAAATCTGCACTAACACCTGAATTTCATTCTCCACCATCATCGAATTGGGAGTCATTTTTATTAATATTTGTAGCTACTCCACCGAGGGTTTTTCAAGGTATTCCAGTCATTCTAGGATGCTGGGAATGGGATCAATAAATTTGGTTGCAGGCCACCTGCACATGCATATTTTTTCTAGTATCTGAGTCTAGTTACCCTGCACAAATTTTAGAAATTTCAGTCCGACAGGATGAGGCGTTCTGGAGTTATGAGTGAAAGAAAATCGGGAGATTAGAAAAATAAAGAGGCAATCTAAGAGATACCCCTTCTGGGATACCTAATTCAGGGTAAGAGTTGGGTTTCTGCGGAACAAGATAGTTTTTAGGAAGGGTAGTGTTTATACTGAAACACATATGGGAACAATTCTTAGATAAATGTAAGAAACTTTCATTGAATTTAAGCATTTAGAAAATATATAAGATAAGGAAAATAGGGAAACAGTGTTACAGATGTTGCAAATGTATGGAACAGGTGGTAGGTTATTAAAGGCAGCGGAGGTTTTATGAGAATAGTGAGGCTCAGGTACAGGTATGAAGGAAAGAGAGTAATTATTTTCCATTAAAAGTAGGCCTTAGGCAGGGATGTCACATGGTTGATTAACCTAATAATTGAGTAGTAAAAAAGTGAATGATAAGGTGCTGGGGAGAGGTGCGATATTAAAAGATAACGAATTTAATACAAAAAGTGAAAGTTGTCATGGATGCTTTTTGCCGACAAACCCCTTTTTTTGGGGGGATGTAAGTCTAGAGAGAGGATGCGAAGGTTGGCTGATAAATTTGGAAGGAAATGTATAAGAAGAGCAAGCAAACGAGTAAGAAAAAAATTAGGTACTGAAAACTGATATAAGGCTGGAAGGAGTATGCTGGAAATAAGTATATTTAAATATCTGAGTAGACTCGTCAACAGACGGATCCACAAAAGAAGAGGTGAACTATAGAATTTACGAGGGGCAAAAGGTGCGTCGTTCACCGAAGCATCTATGGAGACAACCTTATCCACAGAGGCAAAAGGAGGCAAAAGTAGGAGAATTCCTTGCTTTGAAGTTGAGGTCTGGGGATTCCAAAAGTGTTATTCAAAGGGCGGAGGAAGGGTAGTTGAGGTAGTGTGTACATTAGAGAGGGAAGAGCAAAATAGGATGACCGTGAGAGCATACAAATCTGGGGTACAGGAAGAATTGGAGGGAAGGGGTAAGGAAGGTTCTGAGTGATAAGGGCTTAGACATCCAACAGGCTTGAGTTAGGAGTTAAGGCAAGCGATTTTTATCTGACGTACTGTTGGACTGTGAACAAGGCAGCATTTATAAAAGAGTTCAGGGAAACCGGACTAAAATCCTGGAAGAGTGAAGTATAGCGCTTGCTCTCTGAACGATGAGTACAAATGTTACAGTTCGGAGTGTTATTGGAAACGTGATTACCATATTGTTATTTACTTCATTTTGCGTCATCTTACAAACTGTCAATAGACATGGAACTGTAATATGTGAGGATTTAAACTAATCGAATTCAGCTTATATGCTTAGTATCTTCTGTACCCACACATTAAATTCATAATCTGTAATTTAACAGGTGACACAGATACAAGTGTATATTTATTGAAAAAAAAATTAGCTGATATGTATTACAAAAGCAGCTAATTTAATTTACGAAAACTAATAACAATAAAACTAATTACATCATGAAAAGACTACCAATGAACCCTGATACAAAATTATATACTAACCTGAAATGAAAATACTCCAGGAAAACGAAGCTCTAAGCAATGCGGAAAAATGAATGAGAATAAGTTCATGCTGAAGAGAAATATAAATCAGATCAATTTACCCGTCATGTCTCGTATTCGTAAAACAGAAAACACCAGCCTGAATGCAATTTTTTTTCAACAAGCTTCCATGTCACACTTATTAAGAGGTAGTACCTCCCTGAGTGGTTGTTGTCTACTAAGTCAGGCGTAATGTCCTGGCATACTGCAGTATTCTAATAAGTTCAACCTACCTCTGAGAATGCCATGTTCTATCTGATCGAGCGTGTAGGTGTGAGGCCCAATGAGGTAGGCGTTGGTGGTCCAGAAGTTCTCTACATCCAGAGTGGAGGCGGGAAGTGTCTTGAGATGACACAGGCTGTCCACCGTCAAGGCGTTGTACACATCTTGGACACGAGCAGTAAGGAAACTGTTTGCTGTATTCCACTAAATAGTCATAGCATTATCTTCTACCTTCCAAAATACAACATTCTTTCATCATCTTGTTCTCTTACAATTCGGTTTATTTTTTAGATTTAATGATCATAATTGACAAATTTCAAACAATATTTTTAGAAAAGCCGTCAGTATTTTTAAGTTTATTTTATTGGGACTAACATGATGGAAATGTTAGGCAACTAATATTCTTGACTGTGTGTTTGAGAATTCTTTATATGTGTTGTCTTGAGTTTATTTATAAACAGTTGACAAGACAAAGAAACCATTGTGTGAAACCAATATACTCTCAGTGCCTACAACTTACTGGTATTACCAAGATAAGGAACATTGACGTTGGAGTGATGCTGTACACTCCTAAGCCTTCCCAGTTAATGCTCATTAGAGCATTCCAAAGCACGGGCTTGATTTTTGAACACTTCGAAGTAGCTGAATCATGTTAGAGAAAAGGAGGAACTAGAGACGTTCATCTGTACATTAAAATCTCTCTCTTTATGTGTACTGCTCTTCAGAAACAGAGACCAGCCGACAAATTCGGCATTGCAGGTTTGGCTTGAATTCATACACCAGTAGGTTCCTCAGGAACAGTCCCGGTTTCCTGTCTCAGCTGAAAAGAAACTGTTCAGAGAGGATCAGACACCAGTCTCAATTTATGACGTAATATTGTAAGTGTAAACGCGTGCAATGGTAGAGAATGAGACTGAGTTATTGAAGCGTTTTGTCAATTCCATCTGGATCTTCTGACAAGGGATCCAACAAGCTATCTGTGCTAGTCATTTGGCTTTCACTCAAACGTTGCACGTCTTTATAATTATATGTAACCTAGTGTGCTGCTTCGACCGGTCCATGAACAGAATATCAATAATTTTCCAACAATAGGCGCAGAGAGCCTACGGTTATATAGTATTGTCAGCGTCTTGCAAGTTTCCAACACTTGCGATGACAAGTTACTTAACTTAGTGTTCGTGTATTAAAGTGTTCCACCTGAACAGTTATTTACAATATTAACAATTACCTAAGAAAGAGAAAGTAGAAACACTCAATTGAAATAGCAAATTACTAAGTTAATTTGTGGTTAATTAACTTCGTAGGTAAAAGCTAAAACTTTCTAAACTCTTTAAGTTAGGTCACTGAGAGGAAATAACACTACCACACAAACACACCTACACACCAGCCACAATAATGGAGCCAACTAAAAAGATTTAACATCAAAGTGAACATACAAAATTAACGAAAGTTCGATATGTACCTGAGAGTTAACTGGCAAACCAATATTTTATAAAAATATATTTATTTACTATTTAGATAAAACTGGTAACAAATATTCCATAATAATAATAATAACAACAATAATGATAATAATAATATATTTCTACAAGTACATGTACAAGGTATACAGTCCTAACTGACGTCAATGACACACTATTATACAGAAAGCCGCTTGTTATGCTGAGCAGTTCGGGCAAATTAGGTCATTTTTGTCCCAGGATGCGACCCACACTAGTCGACTAACTCCCAGGTACCTACTGATGGGTGAACATAGACAACCGGTGTAAGGAAACCGTCCGATGTTTGCACTCCTTCGCCGGGAATCGAACCCGGACCCTCACTGTGTGAGCTTTAGCCAGAGTTAATGTGATCCACTTTTCTCAGGCAATGGGAGTATTTTGAGAGACAGATCAAATAATCTGCTTATCGATGTTGGCGAGAATTCATTATATATAATACACCATAGGCAGCCCAGGACACAACAATAAAAGTGGCATATGAATTTTATGGTGGCTCGTGGCCTGGTGGCTAAAGATGTCGCTTCACACAGCGAGGGTCTGGGTTCGATTCTCAGTGAGGGTAGAAACATTGGGAGTGTTTCTTTACACGGGTTGCCTATGTTCACCTATCAGTAAAATGGGTACCCGGGTGTTAGTGGACTGGTGTGGGTCGCATCCTGGGACAAAACTGACCTAATTTACCCGGAAGGCTTAGCATAACAAACATAACTTGTAGTAAATAAAGATATTATACTATTATTATTATTGTTATTGTTATTATTATTATTATTATTATTATTACTAAAACAGTTAAGAATCCACTGCAAAGCCATTACCAAGTTAAGTCTGAAATGGAATTCTTGGTAAAACTAGACATATACTGTACAGCATAATTAGTAAAATCACCATCACCGCCTCACCAACAGTGATATAACACAAGTCCAGAAGTTAGACGGAACCGAATAGTGTGTAGGCAACGAGAGAGAGAGAGAGAGAGAGAGAGAGAGAGAGAGAGAGAGAGAGAAGAAGAAGAAGAAGAAGAAGAAGAAGAAGAAGAAGAAGAAGAAGAAGAAGAAGAAGAAGAAGAAGAAGAAGAAGAAGAAGAAGAAGAAGAAGACTATCAGAGCGAACAATAACCTGCACCACTTGGTATGAAGTGAACCTCCTGGGCGAGACAGTCTCCAGACGTTCCTCTGAAGAAATAACCAAACTACCAAGAACGTTGTTCAATTACCAGTATCAACCACAAATAAGCTGGAAACAATACTACTGAACCCACCTGACAGTTTTGAGGTGGGCGGACTGAACCCACCTGACAGTCTTGAGGTGGGCGGACTGCCTGTCACTTACCTCGTACCCGTCACCTTGCAACTATATGCAACATGCAGTTACATAGCAACACACTAATGCCACAAATATAACTATAAATTCTTCATTTATTATGTGGTAACAGTTTAATGACATCAGGTGACATCTTTTATGTGCACAGATTACTACAACTTAATAATTATAATTCTTAAATAATAATAATCATTAATAATAAAAAACTTCAAGCACTAATTTAAAAAGACCTAAAAGCTCTTTAAGTTTTATATAAACCATGATAGACAATGGATAAAGATCTATCTCACTTGTTGCTCAAACAAGAAATCATTGTTCAGATTTAAGCACTAACTTACTTTAAGTTAGACTCTTTATTATTAAATTTTAAGTTAAAAGAACTACTCTTCATATTGCTTTTGTCTTGTATATATTGTACTGTCTATCACGTACTTATGTTAAAGTTCAATCGTGAATGTATACAATATTAAACCGAAGAGATTATGAGAGATAACTTTCCCAGACTGACGGTCAGGGATCTATCCCGGCATGGGTGACACGTTGGGCAGGTTTCTTTGCATCTGCTGCTCCTGTTCACCTAGAAGTAAGTAGGTACCTGGGTGTTAGCCGATTGCTGTGGGTGGCATCTTAGGAGACAAGACTAACCCAAGTTGCCTAAAATGGTCTGTATAACGAGGGACTTTCTTTATAGTATGACAGTGTTGTCAGCTACATCTGTAATAGTTGTATCATGTACTTTTAAAAATAAAGATTATTATTTATTATCAAACGGCAATTCCGTATGCGTCGCAGAATGTTGCACGGACACATACAGTAATCTCTAATTCCACTAGACAGTGAAAGCTGTTTCGTACCATGGCAGGATGCATGAAAATTCACAAATTGACTATTGCTTGGATTCTGGCAAACAGCAGTTTCTATGAAGTGCTTTACAGTGAAGTACTTCCTTCCAAACAGATGTAATACGCTTACGTATTACTGCTAGATGATCCAGACTCAGTTTTTGAGTACTTTCAATATTTTCTTCATAAACAATTTCTAACCCCTTTCTCTAATGTCATCAACATCTTTCATCACTTAATAAATGCATAATAAGTCAAAATAAATCTAAAAAAATAGGTAAATTCATATACTATAGCTTATACAGCCTCAGTATTAGTGTTTCTTGCTGCAGTCTTTCTACATGACCAAACCATCTCACCACCACCTCTTCCCTTGCCTTATGCCATTCATAACACCACAACTTTAATATCAACTTATGCCTTTGATCACGACACAATGTTTAGCATAAATGACAGGTTACCAAATATAGATAGAACAATAAAAGGATACTGATGAAGAAGGCCATCCTTTGGTTGTTGTTAAGCTTAGATACGTCCACGTCCTGTAGTCTGCTGGCCAAGACACCGTACTGCCTGTGAGGGTAACCCAGGTTGTAAATTGTAAATGGTGGTTCCTCTCCTAGCCCTCACTGTAGAGTGTATTATTGTACTCTCACTATATTGTACAGTGTACTATATACATTAATTACGTTTTTTAAGCTGGCAGATTCGAAATTTTGTCTGGCTGCCTGCACTGCTAAACTGTTTGTTCGCTTGTTTTCCTGTTGGGATGCCAGGCAAGCCAAGAGAGTATCTTATCTGGCACCTGTAGTGCTGCTTCACTCTTTCCCTGGTAGATCAAGGCAACACCTCTCTTTTCCACTTTTTCTGGGAGAACGCTGTTTTCCTCTGCTCCTCTCATGTAAACTCATATTTTTTTTCGTAATGTACAAGTTAATGAACCAAAACATACATCTTGCACTCTGCAGCTCTATTGACAGTCCCTTATTTATAATTAGTGATTTTTTTACATTTTCTGAGGTTCTCTCCCCCGGAACATTCGCTGTGGTTCAGGTCCCGAGTCTAACTCTAGACCTAACTTGTTCTGACTGTCGTCTACGCACTGTCGTAGTCGGGGCTTGGAAGCTACTGAACTCAGATTCGGTAATTGTCCCCAGTTAGGGTTGTTGTCGTGTCTCCTCCTCCCTTGCCTGACCCTGTGCTGCTTATGGCTGCTGTGTGTACTTTGCTGTTTGGCAACCTGGTTCCTTTACTGCTCAAGCAAGTTGTGCTTATTTTGGGGGGACTTGTTCTATGCTTAGTCTTGCCAAGTACATTACACACTCATTATTTATTATATCATTCCTGAGTACAATGAAGTCCAGTAACATACTAGATGGTACATTTTATCATTAAAAGTATACAGTAGTATCATACAGTATTCTGTTAAAATCACTTTTGATAAATTGTAGAGAGTTGTTGAATACCCATAATTAATAAGTTACCTAAGTTATGCACCTGGTGGTATGTAGGAGACTAATTCCAGCATCATTAAATTTATCTGTAAATATTAACTCTAGAAAACCTTTTGTTTAATTAAAATTCTCAAACTTTTATTTGTTGGTAATTATTTACCCAGTTGCAATCCTTTATGCTAAGCCCACCAAAATCATTTTAACAGTCTCAGTGGGTACAGGACAACTTGGCCAAAATAATCACTAACAACAACTGTTAAGAAACCAGTAGGAGACTAGATGCTAGTGGGGGATGGATCAATACCTTCTAGTTTTTCTTTTTAAATTTAGTAATATATACAGGAAAAGGAGTTACTAGCCTCTTGCTCCCAGCGTTTTAGTCGCTTCTCTCTGATAAATATCTATGCTAATATTTGTAACAGAATTTGAATTATGGAAACTTGTTAAGAATACAGGTATTATGAGGAAGGAAACTTGCTGGGGCCGCCAACAGTAGTAATGTCAGAAATAAAAAGAGCTGGACCCACCAGCTATGTAAGGAGGGAAACAATGGGGGCAAAATCACTAAGAAAAGGGGGGGTTAGGGCATCATTAATTTAGAAAACGAAAACCTGTCATGCCATCAGTTTTATAAGTAGGGGAAACGTGGTGGGGCCATAGCATTAAAAGGAAAAGTGTTGGGGGACACCAGTATAAGGTAAACGTGGTAGGAGCCAGAAGGATTATGAGAAGTGAAAAAGCGTTTTAGCCACAGCAAAGGAAAAAAATGCGATTGAAAATGCAGCATGATAAGCATGATAACGTGTTAGAGTCTCGAGCAATGTATGGAGGAAAGTGTGTTGGGGTTAACAGCATTATAAGGAGGGAAATATTTCTTGACCATAAGCAATGTAAGGAAGAAAACATGTCAAGCCGACCAGCAGTGTTGGGGCCACCAGCTGTATGTAGAGGGAAAAAGTGTTGGAGCCAGCGGCATTATAAAGAAGGAAATTTGTTATGGCCTCCAGCATTATAAGGAAGGAAAAGTGTTGGGGACCACCAGCCGTGTAAGAATTTAAGCAGCCTGGGTGTCTGGAAGCAGCCTGAGTATCTGGAAGAAGCCTGGGTGTCAGGAAGCAGCCTGGCTGTCAAAAGGCAGCCTGGGTATCAGGAAGCAGCTTGGGTGTCAAGAATGATTCAGATGGAGCAGAGTTTTTGAGAGTTGAAAGCCTCATACCAGAGAGGACACCAGCCTTGACACCACCTGTTATGGCCTCAAGCATCATAACGAAGAAAATGTGTTGGGCAGAAGAGCATTATATAGAAGGAAACGTGATGGAACCTGCAGCACTTTCATGAAGGAAACACACAGGGGACACGATATTTATAATTAAATCAGCAGCATTAAAAGTACAGGAACGTGCTGGGACCTCAAGTTTTAAAAAGAAAAAAACCATGTTGGAGCTACCAGCATAATAAGCAAGGTAACCTAGTTGGCCCACCAGCATTAAAAGAGTGATACTTTTTTGTTGTTACCAGCATTATCAGGAACGGTTATGCGGACACTAGCAATAATACCAGGGAAATGTGCTAGGTTCGCCAGCAATATAGGGAATTGGAAAGGGAAACCTGTTACAAGGATTAGATTAGATTTTGCCACCGAAGTGGCTAGTTTATTGTGCACCCCATATCCATCCTGTGGACGGTAGCGCGAGAGCATATGGATACACAAAAGGCCTAGGAACTAGGCCCCAAAGGGTTAACAGGAATACATATGGATTTATATCTACATATCTATAGTTCACTTATCTGTTACAAGCAAATTTAGGAAATTTGCTTAGTATATCTGGTATCTTATTTTCATTAATAAGATATCTTGACATGTCACATAGGTTATTATACTGTCTGTCTCTGTATTCCTCAATAAGTGGACAATTAAGAACATAGTGTTCAAGAGAATGACCATATGCCTGATCACATAATTTACATTTAGTTTGATCATCATCTGTGTGTCTCCCAAACTGCCAGAAGTACTTGTAACCAAGCCTAAGCCTGGCCACTACAACATCAGTCAGTCTGTTCACATTGCAAGTTGTTCCATAAACATACTTATCTACGTTCATGTTATCATAGTGGGTTATAGATCTACTCAGGCTTCTAACTGCATTCCTATAACAATCATTTTCATTATTTACTTCTCTCCTAATATTATTCCTAATGCTAGACACAGTTATACCAAAGTTATATTCTACATTCTCCTTCTCGATACTCTTCTTGGCTAACATATCAACTGTTACAAGGGAAACTACGTTATAAGGAGGAAAACAAGGCTTGATAGAACATTATTAATCAACTCAGACCAACGGTGATGCTAGCCGTTACGAAGGTGGCTGGAGATTACACCAAGTCTGAGAATGAAATACCTCTATATGAAACTAGGAGGTCATGTACCGCTGACCGCCCAGCAGAGTCTACAAACTCATTGCCCTGAACATCAACATGACCAGAAATCCAGGAGAAAACGATTTCTTTGTTTTTCCTAGAAATGCGGCACAGCAAAAAAATGTATACGAAGAACTAGGGAATGAGGTGAATTGAATTTTTTGATAGCTTGCAAAGCACTAGAGGAGTCTGAAACTACCTCGAATGTTGAGGTAGGCCTGGACGCAATACGTATAATCGCTTTGTGAATGGCATACAGTTCAGCAGTAAAAATGCTAGCCGAGTCTAATAAATAACCTCGCAACACTGTCTGGGAACACTGCTGCAAACCCGACACGATCAAGAAGATTTAGAACCATCAGTGTCAATTGCAACGACATGAAAATGAGATCGGAAATGGTGAAGAACAGACTCGAACTGTCAGAACCTCCCAGGGTGAAAGAGAAGCCAGGAGCGAGTGAAAAAAAAAAAGTAAACAGGAGTAGCAAACAAATAATAGACCTCTACTAACGTCCGTTACCTTCCTGTATGTAGAAGGATCGTGAAGGTCATGAGAGCAGCCGGAGGCAATAGGCATCACGCCGACCGGTCAAAGATGGAACATTACCCTCTGCACATAGGTTTTCGACAGGGAAGTTATGTAAAGTACCTAGACATAAACGTAATCCCTGATGATAATGGGATAAAGTTTAGAAAGAGTTGCAGGAAAGGCTGCAAACTACATCTGGTCTCCATAATCTAGTTTCGATAAAATTATGGCTGAATGAGGTCGAAGGAGAATTCTACGATCCCCCCCCCCCTTCCCAAAAAAGATGAGCGAGGATTTTAAGGAGGTTCAGCCGGCTATGGTAATTTGCTTCCAGGGATGTAATGCGATGTTTCCAGGACAGCCGTCGATCAAACAGAAGACTGAGAAATCTGACCGTATCATGTTAAGGGATCTGGGACTCGTACAGGTAAAGTGGAGTATTAAAGACAACCAAACGTCTTGTAAAAGAAATCCGATGCGTTTTACTGCCAGAAAATTTAAACTCGTGAGTAGTGGCCCAATGGGAAACATGTTTGACAGCATTCTGGAGAGAGGCTGCTGCTAGATGTCAGTTAGCACATGGACAAGCTGTAGCAGTCATCAACATAAAGTGATGATAAAATATTAGATGGGAGAACAGAGGCCAGATCATTAATATCTAACAGAAAAAGAGTGGTGCTAGGTACACATCCCTGAGGGACACCTTCAGCTTTGTTATAGTCAGGGGAAAAGCAGATTAACCCGGACACGGAAATGCCTCTCAGACAAGTAGTTTTTAAGGAAAACTGCCAGATTGCCCCAGAGGCCTAAGGAATGAATTTGGGCTAAGATGTTATCTCCAAGTAGTATCATACGCTTTTTCAAAATTATAAAAGACTGCGATAACCTAGTGGCTACTAGCACAGGCATTACGAACATAGGTATCTTACCAGAGTAAGGGGTCGATAGTGGAGCGGCCTTTACGAAAGCCAAATTGATGAGTGGAAAGACTATAGTCTCTCTAAATACCGCACCAAACGTCTATTTACTAGACGTTCCATCAACTTGCAAACTGTACTGGTATGAGCAATTCGTCAATAGTGGAAGGCCTTATGGCCCGAAGTACCTGGTTTAGCAAAGGGAAGAACCAAGGCAGTTTTCCATGGACGGGGAAGAACCCCCTGGGACCA